AGAGGTGTTTCGCAGCGGAATATTTTTGTATAATTGATAGATCGATGCGTTGTGAAGCGTCGTGAAAGATCATTACCAGATATAACAGTATACCGTCGTTATTGATGAGTTCCAATGGCTTAGTCTTTACGCGATTCCTATGCAGAAGAAACCACAACCATTATCAATGGATTAAATTGAATTAAGCTAGGCCGAATATGTTATCTGAAGGGATTTGTAATGCTCTACCTACCTCAATGTTATGTACGAAGTGCCACAATCACTTAAATCGCGCAGTATGTCACCCGAATAACCGGAAGAGGTCTTATTCTCGAAATACACATAGACGACTTTCGTATGAAAACTGCACAAAATGTCGCTGGCGTTCTCAATTAGTGGCACATCTATTGCAGAATTAACCGCAAGTAGACCTTCGGCCATCGACGGAGTTTTGGAAATCCAAACCGCGAAAATGCCGATGAGAGAATACAGCAACGATAGTGGCATTGCGCCCAGACGAGTAGAGTTATGCGGAGCAAATGTGGACGCTTAGTTGGTGGTCGATTGTTTTTATAGATATAGACATATCCCAGCTGGTGACCAAAATGAAAATGCATTAATGGAATATTTTTCACAAATACACTTACACAAGAGCCAGATATCGCGCGTGTGTGTGTGTGAGTGTATTATATGCATTTGGCTTATTGGAGCTGATGAAAGCTAATGCCATGATTAATTTCATTAATGTAATCCATTTATTTTGCATTTGACAGTTGATGGTTTGGTTATTTATTTTTAGAGCCATTTGCTGCAACAATTGCCGGCGAGTTCGCGCCGTATCGTAGAACAAACTGTAGGTCATTTGGAAAATGTGGCAGGATGGCAAATATTGTTGCTGCCGGTTGAACTCTGTTTATTTAATGTTGCGATAAGCAACGGAACATTACTTAACATGCATTTAAAATTATATAATTGTAATGTATGGCAAAGGTTGTGTTGTGAGTTGTGGCAACAAACACATGCAAACAACAAACAAATTTCATTTATTGCATACATACATACATACATACATACGTGAGTATGTACACAAACTTGCTTGAAAACGTTAATGCGAACTAAATATTTTACAAGAAATTAATATTA